CGGTTCAGAAGAGGACCCTGGGCGGGCAGAGATGATTTATCTGATATGGTTATAGAACCAGAAATGCGGGACTTTGGTGTTGCCAGGTTTGTGGCCTTAGCCTCCTGAGATAACGCAGAAAGAAGCAACAATAATTAAAGACACAGAGTGCTATTAGTTAGTAAATAAGCGCTCTTCATTTCTTGAGTTTTGCTAAGAGACCTGGGGTCAGGAGGAAAAGTGGCAGCGGCAGTTCCTCTGCTCACATGGGACTGGATACCTCGGCTCCCCTGCCTGGGCCTCAGTTTCCTCATCTGTGACTTGAAAGGTCTGCAGGAGATGCCAAAGGGCTCTCCCAGTTAGAACAGAAAGTTAGAAGAAGTGTTGCTCGGTGACAGAAAAGTGGGGGCGTGACACTGTCCCCAAATCAAAAGGCCTCTGGTGCTCTTCCAAAACCTTAGCGCTCACCATCAGGGGGGTGAAAAGACGGGCTGGCCCCAGCTTCTCAGAGCATCAGTGCCTCAAACCCAATGCACTACGATTGCTCTGGGGTGCTTGTTTCTACGCTGGTGATTTGTGGCTGACACTGGAGAGCTTCAGCCTCTGCGGGAACAAGATGGGAACTGACGAGCTGGCCAGCCATCATCACCTCCCCGGCCTTGCTGAATCACCCTTGACATCCTGCCTGGAAGTAGAGGCTTGGAGGAGGTGGGTGACCTCTTGAAATCTCGGGCCAGGCCCATGATGCTGTAACCTCTGCTTTGCCACAATTAGGGAGGGAGGGGAGGAACCATTTACTGCTTCTCTGGGATCTGACAGCTTGGAAAAAGAACGGAGAGGGAGACAGAGAAACAGCTAGGAAAGGAGCCAGCCACAGTGAGTTTAACCTCTCGGTACAATAAAAACGGGCTGAACGCACCTCATCAGCTGCCCTCTGTCAATACTCAGGCCCATCTGGTAGAACCTGAGGTTCCCAACTAATCGGCATTTCCCATAGAGCCAGCAAAGGGCTTTTGAAAAAAATATGTGGGGGTGCTGGTAAGAGGGGTGTGTGTGTGTGTGTGTGTGTGTGAGAGAGAGAGAGAGAGACAGAGAGAGAGAGAGAGAGAGAGAGAGATCCTCCCTCCTTCCCAGGCAGGGTTCTGGGACCTTAAACTTCTGGCCACGTGAGCCAGGGGTGGGGATGTGCCCTGCACATGTGCCCATCCTCTGTGCCCAAGTAGCTGGGAGATCCCTCTGCCCACACGGGAAGACGATTTTTCTTAATGCATCTCACCTGGGGCTGGTTTTTTAGAAAGGATGCATCAGAGTTCCAGGGACACCTTCTCTGGCCCTGCTTGGCTTCTGGGACTGAGAGCTGGTGCCCTGCCCTCCCCCCCCCCCCCCCCCCCCAGCTTCAAGATGAAGAATCCAGCCTGTTTGTTCCAGGCAGATGTAATCACACGAACAGTCAAGTCTAGAGGGCAGGACACTGCATGAATAATTCAAGCACTCCAGTCACTTGATTGTGTGTGCAGATAAAACACCAGTCAACCGCTAAACAGGTCAGCTGATAAACTTGTTTGCTCAGGCCTAACCACCATCCGCCAAATGCACCCAAGACCCACACTACAATTAGTGGCTGGTTTTCTTCGGCAGAACCCTTGCATGCCTAGGGAGTGGCCAGCCCCAGGAGGTCAGGGCTGCATTTCTCAGTGCAGGGTTTCTTCACCTCCTTGCCTCTTTGTTCCTACACAGCCACCGGGCGATTTCACCCAACTCAGAGATTGCCGTAAGCGGCAAAGGCACTGAACTCAGAGCACGGAACACTCCTGCTGGGAAGCAAGTGGGAGCTGAGGCTGAAGGCAAAGGTGAGTGGCAAACAGGGTAAAGTACTGTTTAGAAGCCAGAGGCCCAGATTTGGGTGCTAGGTCTGCCCTCCTCGCCTCCCTGAAGCCTCAGTTTCCTCGCCTACAAAAAGAGGGCAAAGAATACATCTACCTGCCTCTGGCAGCTCACAGGATTAAATGAGACCATGTCGCCAAACCTCAGGCATTCTCCCCCTAAGAACCTGGTTTGGGGACTGGCCAGAAGTCCCAGATGCACACAGCTGCTCCTTATGCAAACCCCACCACTGAATGTGCTAGGAAGGCGAGTAACTCTTCCTGGGTCCAGAGTGTCCCCAAGACTCCAGGAACAGCTTCGCTCCACCAGCCAAGGTGGATTCTTTGTGCCAAAGAACCATCCACTCACAGACACGGGGAACACCACCCATGCAGACCTCAACATGCAACGACATATTACACCTTAATTACGAAGCTCTTAGAAGAACGGCTGCTATAACTTTTAAACCTGGGTGCAATTACCCTGTTCAATTTAAACACACCCAAGACACCAAGCGCTGAGGACAAAAAAAGAGGGGGTGGAGAAAGGGATGAGGTTGCATCCTGCATAAGAGCCTTGAACACCTGGGACCCCGGTTGCACTGCACAGATTCTTACTGGACCAGTCAGACCCAGTCAGTTCCACCTAAAGTTGGGCAGTCTCTAGCCCCGACTCCCGAGGAGAAACATCTTTACTTACAAAGTGGTGCCTGTTTACAGTTCCTGTGGGTCAAGAAGTAAAAACCTGGTAGCCTTCATGTGCCTCCCCAGATTCCTCAACAAACTCAGGTCCCTTTCTGGCTGCCCTTCACCCAACACTGGGGCTCCCTCCAGGAGGGGAAAGGAAACTAGATTCCAAAGACTCTCTGCGAAGCCACTGGAGTGGGCAGACAGGAATCTACAAGCATTCCAGAGGGCACCTGCCCTGGGTCCTGCCCCCTTAAAGAGCGCAAGTTTAAACCTTGTAAACCACTGTTCATTTAGAGCAGAAAGTCCATTCAAAGCACGGTCACCAAAGACTAGAATAAGTCAACAATCTTCTGGGATTTCAAGAACACCAATTGTTACAGAGAACAACCGGCCTGCGCCATTTCTCCTTGCCAAGTCAATGCTAATCGCCGGCCAAGCCAAATCATAGGCGGCCTCTCCTCGGAACACAAATACACAAACAGGCCTCTCCCACAGCCCAGCCCAGCACCCAGGATGAGTTACTGATATGCACCAAGATAAAGGTGTTTGTATTTGCCCGGTTTGAGGTATACTGTTATTAGAAGAGTGACAATACGGGGTAGTTTACATATCCATCACACGCTACCACACTAGCTAAACTGGTTTGACTTCAAACCAGGATTTCAAAGCTGAGCTCAACCCCCAGCCATCTCAGCAGTCCTGGCTAGGCTGCCCCAGGCTCGTTACTTCACCTCTCGGCTTCATCTTCCTTCTCCGAAAAATGGGAAAGGCTAAGATGGAGATGAAAAAATTGCTTCATATGCATAAGGCATTGGGCTGTATTTCACTCTGGCTTTATATTTTTAAGCAGTTGGTGGCTTGTTCCCTTAAATTTTGACAGCTCAGCCTGGCTTTTAAGGCTCTTGAAGTGTAATCTCATCAAGGCAGAACATATTTTTGTACACACACACACACACACACACACACACACAAACCCTCCCGACTTTCCTCTTGAAAATTTTACATTAAAACGGGTAGCAGCCAGCCACCTCTGGGTTTCAGGAGTTTGTAAAGTAGATCCTGAAGGGACAAGTTTTCTTTTGCTCCTTCCTCCTCCACCAAGATCCAACACCAGGACAAACTTCACAAGCTCGGACACTAGAAGCTCAACATGTCCAAGAAATCAGCCAGGCCTCAAACCCTGCATGTCAAGGGCTGGACCCACTCACTCTTCAAGGAGGAGAAGGAACAGAAGAACGAGGCTCATTTTCAAACAGGAGGAGCCATTTTTTTAAAATCTGTGGATTAGGTAAAAATTTTAAAACTAGACATGTATGGTAAAGCACTTACCTGCTTGTGCATTTCAATGTTCAATCCATAGGACATCTCGTAGTACTAAAAGTAAAAATAACTGCCATTAATGCACAACACCGAAGTCTGTTTGTGTTCCACAATGAGCTTTGGGGAAGGTTTTGGCCAAATGGTACTTTTATGATACATTTGCTAAAGAAGTTTAAGTCAAAGCCCAAAGCCAGCTATAAAGGGGTTGCAGAGCTGAAGACCGGCTCATGAGTGCTGTTCTCACTGCAACAGAACATCCTATACGCAAAGTATTATGAAGAGCGGGGCCCTCCCTCCCACCAGCCCTGCCTGTGCCATATATCCTGTTTATACAAGGTTCTCATTCAACAAGGAATCATGTGTACACTGGGACCCTCTCGTCCTCTGAGAGTTATTTAGCAATGTGTCGAAGGCCTCTTATGTGCAAAGCAGTGCAGGGAGCCTCACTTAAGGACCTCCGGTGCCTTCCTCACCAACAGATTTAAACTTGCTGGAATAGACACTGGGAAAAGGGCGGACGTCTACACACTGTCCCAGGGCCAATGAGGTTCTCAGTTGGGGGATCCCTGAGTGTACAGTAGAGGCAAAAGCCTGTAAAAGGCTCCTCCACTGTCAGAAACCCCCGGGAAGAAAGGGGGTAGGCGGAGGGGCCTTATGTCCCACTCTGGCTAGATCCCAGGGCTGCAGAGCAGTGAAGTTTTCAAACACTCCCAGGAGATCTCTAAGAGAGATTTTTATCCATCCCTGACATAGGCTGATCCAATCCTATCTTACTAGCCAAGATAAGACAACCAGCCCTCTGGGAAACCTTCAAAACACAAATTAATGGGGCACAAAGGAAGTGCACAAGTGCCTGGCCTGGGGTTTGGGTTTCTCTTTCTGCCCCTCCTCTCACCCACCCTCCTCCAAGTGGCCGGGCTATGGGAGGCTGGTGAAGGGTCAGAGGGCACCCTCGGATTACACCCGCTCCGGGGCTGCCCAGCGGAGGCCGGTCAGGGGACCCGGCTCCAGGCTCCCCAGGCCCACGCCGCCCTGGCCTCTCACCATCACATAATGGCGCTGCATCTCCGTCTTCTCGTTCGCCAGCTTGTCGTATTCCACTTTGAGGCTGCGAGGGCAGAAGGAGCCGGCTCAGACTTGGCGCCTGCACAGCCTCCTCCGAGGCCCCAACCCAAGGGCCTCTGGGCGCCACTTCGTCACTTTCCTGACACCCTCCCCCCGGGGGGACCCCCTTATCCCGCAGCCTCGGGGGGAGGGGGGCTTGGGTCCCCGACACGCGGAGATGGAGTGAAACAACTTGAAACTTCCCGCGGCCGAGAGAGTGGACTTATCCGAGCC